TGGAGTCTCAAGCAGCTTTCTTCTGGTAAGTCTAAGATAGTGTTAATATTTGCAGAATCTTCCCATCTGAAAGTTATGCTGCCCTCTGTTGCACATGACCTCCACTGATGTCCATACCTGCAAAATCAAGCACACGTGGAATCAAAACACAGTAAGAACCATGTAAAGTTCTTAATGGATGTTCACACAAATAAACATAAGAGTATGCCTGGTATCCAATCAAACTTGGGGGGAAAGTCTGTAAATACCATGTATGATTAAACTGTTACTAGTATTAGTAAGATATTGTCTAAACTTAAGTTAATACAGCTCTAAAAGCTGGATTAACTATTTTGCTGCAGCTGTAATGTCCTAATGCACAGCACATGTCTGACCTTTTTCTGTAATTCATATTCATATATAAGAGATGATAAAGTTTACCTATCCTTCTGTCTCCTGCCACTTGATGTACTGGATGACTGTATTCTTCAGCTGGGGTCCAATCAGGGGATTCAGCTGGGCTAGAGTTGCTACCAACCAACTGGAGGCAAAATCAACATAACTTACAAACGTGCATCAACACAGGTCTTGTAGTAAGTTGTACTACATTAGCCAAAATCATTAACTGAAATCCTTTTGACAATGATATAAACATTCAGAATTTTGGGATGTTTATTTTTTTTCATACCTGCCCCAATGTTAGCAATACATAGATTCATAGAAGTATCCCATATTCTCCACATAAAGCAGTGATTTAGTATTACATGTAGCTTGCGAGGAGGTTTCATTAATTTGCTAGGTTTTTAATCTGTGCCAATTGGATGTAGGGCTGTAACATCCGTGTCCATAATATCATCAAGGTCCATAGTATCGCCACCTTGAGAAATAGTGTGCTTTAAGATATTTTTACTGCAACATACTTTTGATGCATACCTAGGGTATGTTGCAGTAAAAAATATCTTTAAGCACACTTTTTTCTCAAGGTGGTGATATTATGGACCCTGGTGATATCATGGACACGGATGTTATATGCAAATCAAGGCACCAGCAAAGACAAAAATTATGTGTTTCATACTTACAACACATAACAACATACTGCAGTTGTCACTATCATTGTCTGGATGACTCTGAAAGAAAAGAACATAAAACAGTTATCACAAATAATGTGGTACGTGTAACTGTGTTACTGGGAATTATACATGGTGGAGACAGGGAGTCATGGGAGTGGGAGGGCGTGAAAAGGGGTCATATTCCCGCATATAATTTTTGTGCACTGAATTTACCAGTTCTAGCAACAGTTCTCACTGCAATGATCATTTCTCCACAATCATGACTTTCCTTACCCTCTGTTCGGTCCTTTTGGAATGGCCCACGGCACTCCAGCGCCGATGATCAGCCAGAAAAGTGTCACCACAACCAGCGGTATAGCTACCCCCACCATCTTGAAATGTGACGTAGTGTCATATGACATTAGGGCAGAACATAGCACTTTATTGGTCAACACTATAGATGATAATTCTTTAACATCTAAACGGGTGCTAACTAAACTCTATACTTGCTTAAAAAATTAAATCAAGTTTTAGAGATAGGGCACAAAACTAACTGGTACAATTTGTTGAGTTATACGGTCATACCAGTGCATTTTTATTCGAATCTGTGGAAGTGTACGAAGGCGCTACGTTACAGTCGCACTGCCGACCACAATGGCGGCGCCCGTGAAAAAAATTCCGTCCGTCAGTTGTGTGATGGAAAGTATGAAAATTCTTGTTTCTCCGGACCAAGGATCAACAGGTACGTGTCACAAATGTACAAAATTAACGAAAGGCTAAGAGGCAGTGTCGTTCCCCCAGAATGTTTAAAGCTTAAAGTCACTATCATCGTCATCACTTCGTGGAGATGTGGGAGGGGGGCATTTTTTCAACAACTTTGCAAGGAGTAGCTAGTAGCGCCTTGTAGTGTTGCAATTTATGAAAAAAAGCACAACAAATAAGTCCTTACAGCTTATGTGAAGTGAACTACATGAATATTGCATGACATAGGACTAAAGATGGAATAAGCATATGCACAATAAGCATATGCACAATAAGCACATGCTGAGATAAATAATTATGGTTGAACTGCTCTCATGACAAACATCATGGGGACATTGCCATAAAATTGCAAAATTTTCAAGTTTTCATGACACACACTGATATTAACTCCATCTTACATACATGTAGGTATAAATGAAGCCCAGGACCAAGCTACCAGGTTTGACGCCACCTTGTCATCCAACATCGAGCAGCTTCACACAGCTTTGAAGAAGGACAGCAAATATGAATCTCTTCTCGGTCTCGTACAAGAACTTGAACTCTCAGTTCAATCAGACGATATCAGATACAAGTTCACACTTGAGTGTTTGAGGCTGATCAAGTGTCTCAAGATTGCCATGGTTGAGGCCATGAAAGAGTTTAGCAAATCACAAGACAAAAAGCACTGAGGATGGCCAATCAGCAC